AATGTCTAGAAATTACCCTACAGGCATATCCAGCGAATGTAGAATTCATTCAAGGAAATCTTAGTAAGAACAGTGAGAGCTTGTAGCATTTGAGCCACAGCCCACTCCTTTCTCTTCCCACCTCGTCCCCCTTCTTTTTTTTTTTTAAGATTTATTTATTTATTTATTTATTTATTTATTTATTTATTTATTTATTTATTTATTTATTTATGATAGATAGAAGCAGAGACACAGGCAGAGGGAGAAGCAGGCTCCATGCCGGAAGCCCAACGCAGGACTCAATTCCGGGACTCCAGGATCGCGCCCTGGGCCAAAGGCAGGCGCCAAACCGCTGAGCCATCCAGGGATCTCCCTCGTCCCCCTTCTGTCTTCTGGAAGCTTCACTCCAGGCTGTGCAGCCAAGAAAACAAGAGCCTCCTTCTCTCACTCTATTCCCCATTTCCCAGTATAGAGCTAACGTCTCACTCCAGGAGGGGCAAGCCATTAATGTTTGTCATCCCCCTGTCAAGGAAGCTCTCTCTATTCCAGGAAGGTGCAGCAAAAAAAGAAACAGGCATCTTTTCCCCACACACAACCCGCACTTGTAGGGAAGAAGCTCTAGGTCGGGCATGACAGGCCTAAATTACTGGAACCCCATGACTCACACCCCAGCTCTCTCCCAGGACAGATATTCCATGCCAGGAGGGAAAATCAAGAAGACCACGGGCTACTATCCCCCACCCCCCCACCAGGTTATAGGGCAGAGATGTCACTCAATGATAATGGGCTGCTTTCCCCCTAGTTCCCACAGGGTGAGGCAAAGTTCTGCCCAGGTGGAAAGACAGGCCATAAGGACGAAGAGCTCCATAGTTCTGCCTGGAGAAACTGATTTTATTTGGGACAATGCCAGCCTGTGGCTTGTCTTCTCATTCCCAGTTCCTAGGTTATAAAAACTGAGGTTTCCATCTTGGGCCTTCCTCACCTTCCCTCTCTTGGATCAGTTATTCTGAGGAAAACCATGCTATGAGCAGTCCCACAGAGAGGCCATGCGGCAAGGAACTGAGGTCTCCAGCCAGGGAGGAGCTGAGGCCCGCCCACAACCATGTGAGTGAGCTTAGAAGGTGACTCTGGGCCTCCACCTCTGTGGAGTCTTGAGTTGACTGCAGCCTTGCCTACAGCTAGATTAATTAGCTCATGAGAGACGGTGAGCCAGAGTCCTCAACTAGGTTGCTCCCAGATTCCTGTTGCCCACAAAAGCTAGAATATGGGAGATAACACAACAACAGATAGCTAGACAGAGGACCAGTCCTAGCAGACATTAAAACAAGTATAAAGCTTCTGTAATTAACACAGCATGGTAGTGTTACAAGAATAGACAAACCAGCAGAATAGAAGAGAAAACCTAACCCAAGTACAGTGGAAACTTGGTATAGGGCAGGAGGCATCTCAACTCCACTAGGGAAGAGGTGACCTTTATAATATATGGTGTGGGACAACCCAGTAACCATTCGGATCAAGAAAAAAAAATAGACCTATACACTTCATGTGGACAAGAATCTAAATGTAAAATATAAAACCATAGAAGCACTGGAGGAAAATTTGAGTGAATTCCTCATTAACCTATGTAGAAAAGGTCTTTCCAACTCTGATTCAAAAATCCTGAGACAGGGCATCTGGCTGGCTCAGTGGTTGAGCATCTGCCTTCGGCTCAGGTCATGGTCCTGGGGTCCTGGGATCGAGTCCTGCATCGGGCTCCCCACAGGAATCCTGTTTCTCCCTCTGCCCGTGTCTCTGCCTCTCTCTCTCTCTCTCTCTCTCTGCATCTCTCATGAATAAATTTTTTAAAATTCCAGAGATAGTAAAAGAGAAGATTAATAAATTTGACTACCTCACATGAAGAAAAGTTTTTTTTTTTTTTTGCATGGCACAAACACCATAAACAAGCTGTGACAGTCATTTTAGGACCCTGAAAGGACAGGTAAGGAGACAAAAATCAACACACTAAAATGTCTGAGAAGAAAGATAAGAAAATGCTAGACCTCTGATGACATCATTGAATCACTTAATTACTAGAAGAATTCACCACCTACTCAAACTTCTTGTTATATGAAATAATAAATGTCCTTTATTTTAAAGCCTTTAGAACAGGAACCATTTACTTGTTGAAATTATCACATGTTAATACTTGATCCTCATAAAACATTCCAGCAATAGAAACATTGTGTATAAAATAGAAAACAAAAGCCCCCCACAGCTTCTAAACTAAGACAACTGACAAATTAGAAAAATTTTCAACCTGTATCCTTAATATAGAAAGAACTATTACAATTGAGAGACAAAAGACCAAAACCTAGATTTTTAAAAATGGGGAAAAGATCTGAACAGAAAATTCATAGAATAAAAGACATAAAAATCTTTTTCAAACATACGAAAAAATGTTTAAACTTACTTAAATAGGGATCCCTGGGTGGCGCAGTGGATTGGCGCCTGCCTTTGGCCCAGGGCGCGATCCTGGAGACCCGGGATCGAATCCCACATCGGGCTCCCGGTGCATGGAGCCTGCTTCTCCCTCTGCCTATGTCTCTGCCTCTCTCCCTCTCTCTGTGACTATCATAAATAAATAAAAATTAAAAAAAACTTACTTAAATAAATCAACACCAAAACACCTATCAGATTGGCAAAAGTAAACAGTGCAATGACATATTTTGTTGGTGAGGCTGTGGTGAAACAGACCTCATGTTGCCAATTGAAACAGGAACTGGTATAAACTTTCTTTTTTTTAAAAAAAAAAAGATTTTATTTATTTATTCATGAGAGACACAGAGACACAGGCAGAGGGAGAAGCAGGCTCCATGCAGGGAGCCTGATGTGAGACTTGATCCCCAGACTCTGGGATCACGCCCTGGGCCAAAGGCAGAGGCTCAACCGTTGCGCCACCCAGGCATCCCAGTATAAACTTTCTGTAGGAAAATTTGTCAATATCTAACAAAGCTACATATGTACTTACTTGTGACCCAGCGATGCCACTTCTAGGAATTTCCCCTGATGATACACCTCCAATGATATGAAAATATATACTCACAAGATTATTTATTGAAGCATTGTTTGTCATTGCAAATAACTGAAACAAGCTCTACATACTGCATCATACATGGGAGATGGATGAAGGGATTTAGTACATCCAGACAATAGAGTACTATGCAGCTGTTAAAGAGGAAAAGAAGGGGGCGCCTGGGTGGCTCAGTTGGTTGAGTGACCAACTCTTGATTTCAGCTCAGGTCATGATCTCAGGCTCATGAGATCGAATCCCACATTGGGCTCTGCTCCCAACTTGCAGTCTGTTTGAGATTCTCTCTTTCCCTCTTCCCCTATCCCGCCTCTCCCCACTTGCTCTCTCACTCTCTCTCTCTCTCTCTCTCTCTCCCCCAAATAAATAAGTAAATTAAAAAAAAAAAGGAGGAAAACCTCTATGAACTACAAGTGAGTAATTTCCAGCAGCATATAGGATGCTATCGTTTATGTAAGAAGGAAGAGATTGTAAGAAAATATACCTATATCTATCCATTGTGCAAAAAGAAACACAAGAAGGATAAACCAGAACTAATGACATTTATTATCTTTATGGAGTAGGTGGGAATAGGTGAGAAAGAACCCAAGAATGGAACTGGCCTAGAAGGGGTTAGGGAAGAGTGACACTTCTCTGCGTATAGTTTTTTGTGTAGTGCTGACTCTTAGGCTCATATTAATGTTTTACCTACCCACCAAATAATAAATAAATAAATAAAAGTGAACTGGAATATGTGGGGGGTACCCCAAAAAGAAAATAAGCAGTGAGACGTGAACTTCACTGCATTAAAAATGAGTAACATGGGATCCCTGGGTGGCGCAGCGGTTTGGCGCTTGCCTTTGGCCCAGGGCGCGATCCTGGAGACCCGGGATCGAATCCCACGTCGGGCTCCCGGTGCATGGAGCCTGCTTCTCCCTCTGCCTACGTCTCTGTCTCTCTCTCTCTATCTCTCTGTGACTATCATAAATAAATAAAAATTAAAAAAAAAATGAGTAACATAACCACACTAAAGGGAGTAGAGAAGAAGATAAAAACTCACCTAGGTCACTTTGGATGCCAGTATTTTGACTACATACTTTAAGGCAAAAGACAGGTACTGAACAACACAGGTATTGCACTCAAATTACAGTATTTGTTTTTCAGAGGGTTATTGGTTAGAAATTCTGAAACTATCTGAGTATATACTTGTAGTAAGCATGTAAGTAATACACGATGGATTATGAGAACCAGATTTCTCACTGTTGAAATAAAGAGTTACAGATAAGGAAAAGGATAGTGTTGAATTGGAATCAAAAGCATTAGTTTAAACTTATCATCTGCCTATATGTTAAACACATATATGACGTGACACATATAACACATGCACACATATATACACACAGAGGGATAGATCCTACTGTACACCTTGAGAGGGCCTAGAGACAATGACATCCCAGCAACAATGAACACAGCCAATACCCAGATCTTGGTTCTTAAATTCCATGCTCCAATAAAAGTAATCACGGCTCTTCGGAGAAATGGTTCATTTCCAGGCTAGGGCAGAGATGAAACAAGATGAGTCTAGAACATCATGCAGTGACAGAAAGTAATGGAGTGCTCAAAAAATGATGGGGGGCATTTCAGAAAAACAAGAGTCAACATGAAGGAGCTTCCAAGGGCCAAATCGGACAATTTGAGTAATTCAATGAATAATGATAGTGTATTAGTCAGAGTTCTCCAAAGAAATAGAACCAATAAGCACCTGGGTGGTTCAGTTGGTTTAGCATATGCCTTCAGCTCAGGTAATGATTCCAAGGTCCTGGGACTAAGCCTCACCTTGGGCTTCCTGCTCAGCAGGGAGTCCACTTCTCCCTCTGCCCCTCCACCCACTGGTGCTCTCTCTCTCTCTTAAATAAACAAATGAATAAATAAATAAAACCTTAAAAAAAAAGTAAGAAACAGAACCACCAGGATATATATGTGAAGAGATTTATTAACAAGAATTGGCTTATGCAATTATGGAGACCATAAAGTCCCACAGTCTGCCATGTGCATGCTGGAGATCCAGGAGAGCCGTGGTATAATTCCATCAGAGTCGGAAAACCTGAGAACCAGAAGCACTAAGAGCAGAAGATTGATGTCCACCTCAAGCAATCAGGCAGGAAGGGGCAAATTCTTCCCCCTCCCCTACAACTTTTTGTTCTCTTCAGACCCCCAATGGATTGGATGATGCCCACTCGCATTTGGGACAGCTAACCACTTCAAAGTCCACTGATTGATGAAATGTCCATTTCATCCAGGAACACCCCCACAGATACACCCCAAAATATCACTTAACCAAATATCAGCATTCCTTGATCTAGTCAAGTTGACACAAAAAATTACACGACAGATACTAATAATTACCTATAAATAAAATAAATTTTCATGAGTCTATTCTAATATAAATAAGTAAATGGGGGAGAAGAGACATCTCTTCCTTACTGTAGGATTCTAATAAGTAAATATAGAAGGAATGATAGAAATAGAAAATCATCATTAAGCAAATTGCACAGTAATAATTGTTGCAGGCATGACTTATTGATAGATGTTAAAATTAATAAGTAAGAGGAGCCTGGCTGACTCAGTCAGTAGAGCATGTGACTCTTGATCTCGGGGTTGTGAGTTTGAGCCATGTTGGGTATAGATATTACTTTAAAAAAGGGCACCCCGGTGGCTTAGCGGTTTAGTGCCGCCTTCGGCCCAGGGCCTGATCCTGGAGACCCGGGATCGAGTCCCATGTCGGGTTCCAGTCCCACGTCGAGCTCCAGTTCCACGTTGAGCTCCCTGCATGGAGCCTGCTTCTCCTTCCGCCTGTGTCTCTGCCTCTCTCTCTGTGTGTGTCTCTCACGAATAAATAAATAAAATCCTAAAAAAAAGAATCATGATAAAAAAAAAGACGTTACTTAAAAAAATAAAATCTTTAAAAAGAAAAATCATATCTAAAAAAATTAGTAAGTAAAAGTATGATGAGAAACAAGATATTTGCATAAATTCAAAGTCTCTCTTCACGAATGTTTACTAATTACAAAGAGAAAAAGTGTAACCTCACAGTGGAGAAACCTAGAACACACTACCTTACCCAAGTGATCAAAGTTTACATGACCATTTATTTATTTTTAAGATTTTTGTTTTACTTATCCATAAGAGAGAGGCAGAGACATAGGCAGAGGGAGAAGCAGGCTCCTTACAGAGAGCCTGATGCAGGATTCGATCCCCGGACCAGGATCACACCCTGAGCCAAAGACAGACACCCAACCACTAAGCACCCAGGTGTCCCAACATGACCATTTATAAGACATACCAACATCATGTACCATCTAATATGAAGCACTTAGAAGAGCACTTCACTTCTGTAGTATTCTTACCCAAAGAATAGCCTCAAAGTAATCATTACAAAACATCAAAATATCCAAACTGAGGGATATCCTAGAAAATAACTGGCTAGTTACAACTCTAAAAAAAATGTCAGGTTCATGGAAGAAAAATTAATCTGAGAAATTGTCCCAGATTGGAGAAGACCAAGGAGACATGACAAGTATGGTAGCCAGCCTCCAAAATGGCCTCTGAGTGATGCTGCTATCATGGAAGAGGGCTGACCCATCGGTATCAATAGGATATTGTGGAAATGACACAGGGTGATTTCTGGAGCTAGGTCAGAAGGACTTTGCAACGTCAGCCTTACTTTCTTTGGGTGAAGCCAGCTGACGTGTCATTAGGCCATTCAAGCAACACCATGGAGAGACCCACAAGGCAACGAACTGAATGAAGCCTCCAGTATTTATGTGAATAGGCTATCTTGAAAACAGATCCCCAGTCCTAGTCAAGACATTATATAACCACAGTCCTGGCTGACATCATGAGTGAAAAGGCATCAGAGACCCTGAGCAAGAACTACCCACCTGGGACACCTGGGTGGCTCAGTGGTTGAACATTTGCCTTTGACTCAGAGCATGATCCCAGGGTCCCAGGATGGAGGCCTGCATCTAGCTTCCCACAGGGAGCCTGTTTATCCCTCTGCCTATGTCTCTGCCTCCCTCTCTCTGTTTCTCATGAATAAATAAATACAATCTTAAAAAAAAAAAAACAAAAACCTATCCACCTAAAAGCAGCTCCCAAATTCCTGGCCCATAGAAACTATGAAACAATAAGTGTTTGTTGTTTTAAGCTACTAACTTTTAGCATAATTGTTACATAACAATAAATAAGGGATTCCTGGGTGACTCAGCGGTTTAGCGCCTGCCTTTGGCCTGGGGCACGATCCTGGAGTCCCCGGATGGAGTCCCACGTCGGGCTCCGGGGCTCCCGGCATGGAGCCTGCTTCTCCCTCCTCCTGTGTCTCTGCTTCTCTCTCTCTCTCTCACGAATAAATAAATAAATCTTTAAAAATAAATAAATAAATAAATAATATACCAGTGATATGCAATTTGGAAACATACATGTAAAAACCCTAAGCAGGGGATCCCTGGGTGGCGCAGCGGTTTGGCGCCTGCCTTTGGCCCAGGGCGTGATCCTGGAGACCCGGGATCGAATCCCACGTCGGGCTCTCGGTGCATGGAGCCTGCTTCTCCCTCTGCCTGTGTCTCTGCCTCTCTCTCTCTCTCTCACTGTGTGCCTATCATAAATAAATAAAAAAAAAAATTAAAAAAAAAAAAACCCTAAGCAAATTAATTATTAGTAATAATAATTACTGAATCTAGAAGTATGTCGAAAAGGGGCACCTGGGTGGCTCAACGGTTGAGCATATGCTTTTGACTCAGGTCGTGATCCCGGAGTCCTGGGATCAAGCCCTGCATTGGGCTCCCCACAGGGACCCTGTTTCTCCCTCTGCCTATGTCTCTGCCTCTCTCTCTGTGTCTCTCACGAATAAATAAATAAAATATTTTTTAAAGTTATACAGAAAAGATAACACACTGTGCCTAAATTGTATTTATTCTAAAAAGGCCAGGTTAGGGCCACCTGGGAGGCTCAGTTGATTAAGCATCTGACTCTTGATCTCAGCTCAGTTCTTGATCTCAAGGTCTCTTGAGTTCAGGCCCTGTGTTAGGCTCCGAGCTGCTCACGGAGCCTACTTAAAATCAATCACTCAATCAGCCAGGTTAGAGATGAGAAATTTAATGAATGCAACTTACCCCTTTAGTAGATTAGAGGAGAAAATTTGCACCATCTCAATGAATGCATAAAGTGCATCTTGCTGGGCCCAGTGAAGTGTACCCCATAGGGCCCACTGCATCAGTAGGGGATGTGTGGCCAAGAGCAACAGGAGAGTCAAATGTCTGGGCAGAAAGTTTGATCCAAATGTTAAATAGGATCTAGATATTCGGAGGTTTATTGGGCATGCAGTCTGTTTTATACTGAAAAAGCAAACCCTTTCAATTCTTAACTGGACCATTTTGGTAAGTGTATTTATAATAAAATAGTCACTCATGTTTATGAGAGGAATGAAAGCAAGGTAATGAGTCTTAAAATATTATAAATTAGGGATCCCTGGGTGGCGCAGTGGTTTGGCGCCTGCCTTTGGCCCGGGGCGCGATCCTGGAGACCCGGGATCGAATCCCACGTCTCGGACTCCCGGTGCATGGAGCCTGCTTCTCCCTCTGCCTGTGTCTCTGCCTCTCTCTCTCTCTGTGTGTGACTATCATAAATAAATAAAAATTAAAAAAAAAGATTAAATAAAATAAAATATTATAAATTAGGGTTGTGGGGGTCAGGGAGATGTGTTGGGAGGAAGAAATGGGGGAAATGGCAATGTTGCTAATGTTCTGTTTTTCAAGCTAGGTGTCTAATTTATTATTTCACTCCATTGCTTGTGTATATTTGACATCAATTATTTTGTACATATCCAACAGTTCATAATTTTAAAAGGTGAACTCATCAGGCTGCCTCTAAACCTGCAGTCTCCCATTATTCCCCGTAGAGAATAATTCTATCTTTCATACAGAAGCCTGGGGCTACTTAGCTTCCCCCACATTCACTCAAATACTGCATCCTGGCCCCCTCTATCCCTTCAGGATGTCTGTCCACCCTGTACAAACCAGAGCAGGCTGTTTCTATCTCTGAGTGCTGCATCAGCTTCCTGACCACTCTTCCTGCTCCAGCTGGAGCCCCTCCCTCCTCCCTCTATGGTGACCATGACGATATTTCCCAGTGCCAATCTGCTCTTCCATCTCCAGCTTAAACTCCGCAGCATCTTCCCACTGACTCTGGTATAAAGCTGGCTGTTTACAAGGCCGGATGTGCTCAGTCTCCACTCACCTCTACAGACTCATGTTCAGCCATTCTCAACCTCACTCCTCGAGCTCATCACTCAGGGAGTCCCGTTGTTTCCTAAAATACACCTGCACTTTCAGGCCAGGGGAGTCTTCCTACTGATGCTGTTTCTTTTTCCTGTCCTCCCGCCCTATGCTCTAATCATCTTCTGGTTCCATCCTAAATGGAACCCTCATCCCATTTTTCATTTTTTTTTTTTATTATTCATTACCAAGCATGACCTTTGAAAACCTCCCTAACAATCTCTCTCACTTTCTCATCTGTGACTTCCAGCCCAATGCAGATCTCCAGGGAGCTCCAAGGGCTCCAGGGGACGGCCAAGTCGCAAGATAGAGGGAGCCCGGGTTCTTGCATAACTGGGTGGGAGCCTGTCCTCCTATTGCTCCTCACAATCAAAGATACCTGCTATATTAGTTATCTGTTGCTGTATAAGGAAGTTCTGACTCACCATTTCTCATGAGGTTTGCAGTTAAGATGTCAACCAGAGCTGCCATATCTGAAGGCTCAGTAGGGGCCGGAGGCTTTCAGGTCCCCCTCCCTGGGGACTCATTCACATGGCTGTGGGCTACAGGGCCTCCACCCCATACCATGTGGTCCTGTCCAGAGGGCTGCTCCAGAGTCTTCCTGCCATGGCATCTGGCTGCCCCCAGAGTCAGAGAGCCAGCAGGAAGCTAAAGTGCTGTTTGTGACCAAGTCTCACAAGTCACACCATTGCTTTTGTTTTAATCTGCTCTTTAGACACAAATTACTGAGACCAGTTTACACTCACAGAGAGGAGAACTAGGGGCACCTCTTGAAAAGAGGAGTATTGGGGCACCTGGGTGGCTGAGTGGTTGAGTGTCTGGCTTTGGCTCAGTTCATGATCCCTGGGTCTTGACCTGAGCCAGCCTCTGCCTGTGTCTCTGCCTCTCTGTGTCTCTCATGAATAAATAAATAAAATCTTAAAAAAAAAAAAAGAGTATCAAGAGCACATGGATGCATCCTAGGAGCAGCCCACCCTGGCTGAACCCATTCATTCACCTGTGTATTTCCGGCACCTGAGGGCTGCCTACAGTGAACTTGGGCCGTGGGGTCCCTGGGCTCCCACCTTCTGGAATATTCCTGTGCTTCTGTACTCAGATCCCACTTCTTTCTTTCTTCTTTCTTTCTTTCTTTTCTTTCTTTCTTTCTTTCTTTCTTTCTTTCTTTCTTTCTTTCTTTCTTTCTTTCTTTCTTTCTTTCTTTCTTTCTTCTTCTTTCTTTTCTTAAGATTTTATTTGTTTATTCATGAGAGAGGCAGAAACACAGGCAGAGGGAGAAGCAGGCTCCATGCAGGGAGCCCAATGTGGGACTCGACCCCGGGTCTCCAGGATCAGGCCCTGGGCTGAAGGCGGTGCTAAACCGCTGAGCCACTGGGCTGCCCCCAACTCCCCTTTCTGATGTAACTGGGCGTGACATCTCATTGCTCCTCCCACTTCCCCACACTCACTCCCTTGTCCTGGTCCTGTATCTACCTGAGCCCAGGTGCATACACATCTGTGCATACCTCCCGCAGAGAGAGGACTGTTCTCCCTTCACTCTGGGTCCTTCTCACCTGCTCCACCTCCCTTCCCTTCTTGA